GACTGTCGCGCGTGTGGCCCAGCCTCGCCTGGTGAGTGAGGCCACCAACCAAAGTCAGTTCCTTCCCACCTGTGTTTCTGGGTTTTTTTTCTATATATATATTTTTTGTTGGATTCTATTTTATTTTTAATTCTTCTCCTCCAAACACAATGGCACTGCTTATCTCTGAAATGGTGTAATCCTCTCCTCATTGGGCAGCAGCTGCCACTGCGCTGTGGGTAGTGTGTGACTGTGGCTGTATAGTGAAACATAGTTGGCATATCCTTGTTTGAAGTTTGTTGGTGACTCCACCAAACTGGTGTAAAAAACCTCAAAAACCCACAAAACAAAACAGAAAACACACAAAAAAAACTGCCTACATTGTACTCAGTTTCAAACTTTATTAGTCTATTTTTAATTACAAAACCAGAAAGCTGTGTTTTCTTTTCCCAACCCCATTCATTGGCTTCTTTGTTTTTAATGTCAAATCTGTTTGAGTTGTTTTTTACCAGAAAAGGAAGGGTCGGGCTAGGGGACAAGCGGGTGCCGGGGCCACAGACTGAGGCAGAGGCTCCTGGCCTGGCACCCGCTCAGTGCCCACCTGCGGGCACTTCCCTCACTTTTTTTTTTAGGTTTTGTAATTGGAGCCCTTGGTGAGGTTACACGTGCCATGATAACCCACTCTACACCACAACACTGGTGCCTCAGTGTTGGCCATACTCTGGAGTCAGTGACTGGTTTGACTTTCATACAGTGAATATGCATTTGGTCTGTACTGATCATGGAATAAACACATCTCTCTTTTTTAATGCTGGTGTCTCCCTGACATTTCTTTGTGAACCACCTGTTACCTAGGCGAGGCCCAGGAGTCTCCAGACCCCAAATCATGTCTATATAACTCCCACCAGGGGCCATCTAGCCCATTTCCCATGGTCTTTCCCTGCCATCCCAAGCTGAAGCTGTGACAGGGAGTCCAGGTACCCATTCTTCCCTCCTAGACAGGTGGTGGTGTGCTCCAGGGAACCTGGCCAGATTCCAGACAGTATTCTCCTACATCCTTGTCCCCTACTCACCAGGGGACTTGGGTCACTTCTCCCACTTTGTCTCCCTCTACTTAACTCTTTTCATTTAAGCTCAGGGTTAACCAGATATTCTTAGATAAGTGTACATCCTCCCAACTAGGATCCTCTCTCACATGCACACAGATGCACACCTACACATTCCTGCCAGAGAAAGTCCACCAGATGGCCACCCTTGTCTGTGTGCCCATCAGTAGCCACAAGGCAAGCTGGGTACCCAGGAGCAGCCCCTAGGATGAAAGATGAAAGTATATCATTTATATGTATGCAGAGACACACTGATTGAAACATTGCTAGCACTGTTTATTAATCCACATCCCCCTTTAACGGTGTATTGTGTTTGGGATCTCCCAAACCTCCCAGAGAGGTGCAGTTCTGGCATCCAGCCAGAGCCGCCCCCCACCCCCACCCCTCCTGTGCCCGTGCCCACCCTCCAGGCTCTTCCTCATAAACACTGTGCTGGTTCAAGTAAGACTTACAGTTTGGTTCTTTGGGGTTGCTTCTATCTCATCCCACACCCTCCCTCATTTCTGTTCTGACACTTCCCCAGGCCAAGTCCGACTATTTAGCTGGAGAAATGGTTGTCTCCGCCTTCCTTCTAAAGAGTGAATTCTGCCATAGCCCTCTCCACACCTCCCTCATAGGTGTTTCTCTAACTGGGTTATAATTAGAACTTGGATCTATTTAATTTCTCTGGCCATTTTCCCAGTCCCTCCCACAGTACTAGAAATCTTAGTCCTATACAAGAGTGAGAGGTGTGTACAAGCCCCCACTGTACTGTATGCACGGATCGCTTGGCCAATAATTATGTCAGTGAATCTGAGACTTGTATTAAACACTTTAGACATTTGTAGAAGGGAATTCGTAGACTTTTCACTTATATACTAAAGGTTTTTTTTTGTGCAGTTCTCATTGCAAAAATAAACATTTGTACTGAATATAAAATTACTATCCTGTGACTACTGCTGTCTTTTTGTTTGAGGGTAGAGCTGATGGTTAGGGGTGGTGGAGTGAGAGTCAGTGTTGTGTACTAGTAGCAGAGGAAGAAGTAATGTCCCCTAAAACCCACCAGTCATGCAGCAAGATTAGAGAGCTCAGGAGGGATATCAGGGTTGTCAAGTGGTCAAGAGAATTGATTTTATAGAAAATGTAAAAGAAACTAAAGCTATGACGGTCTAATCATGCAAGAAAAGAAAGGTTAAGTGCAGGGAAAACAAACATTTGTACAATACAGGCAGTGTAATCATAGACAACTACTTAACTGTGAGTGCATTGTTTACTGAGGCCGAACCATATAAACCACTATTCATTCCCTTTAAGTAACAACCCAGGGACTTAATTATGGTCCCAGGACAGTATGATGTTTAGCAATGACAATACAAAGGTAAGATTAACAGTGGAAGGTGGAAGGGAGGGTGAGAGATGACAAAAAGGGATGAGTGGAGTGTTTCAAATTAGAGGAACCAGTAGGAAAACTACAGGTGGAAAAAGCACGTCCAGTGGTGGTGACATGAGTCAATGGGTAATATCCCAAATTGATAATGAAGGAGGCCCAGCCCAGCCAGCGTGGCTCAGTGGGTGAGTGTCGTCCTAGGAACCAGGAGGTCACAGTCCCATTCCCAGTCAGGTAAATTTCCAGTGGGGAGTTCCAGGAAGAAGCCGGAGAAGGGAAGCGCTCACATCATGAGGCTTCTAACTCTCCCTCTCCCCTTCCCCTCTAAAATTTTTTTTTAGAAGTGGGCAC